CTGAAAGGATTCATAAAAAGCTGATTATGGTAGTTCGCCTCAGGGAGGAGTGTGGGATTACGTGGGTGTTGCAGGGAGGAGAGGTTGAGGGAGTACTTTTGCTTATCTGCATTTTAAAAAAATTTATAATTAGAATTTTACTGGAGTAATTTGAAAAAAAAAACACCCCAAGGAATAAAAGGTAAAATAACTTTTGGAAATATGGCTGACAATTCTAAAAATGAATGTAGTTGATAATGGCAAAGCAGGGTGGGATATTTGCTGATGTCTGACAGATGTGGTTAGCCAGTGCCATCAGCAAAAAGGCATATGCTTTGGAATCAGACAGACTTGGATTTGGATACTGGTTCTTCATGCACTGTGTGACTTGGGCAAATCATTTAACTTCCCTGAGCTCTGGGATAATAAATGGAATCTACAGCAGAGGGCTTTTGGGAGGATCAGAGAGATAATACAGGTAAAAATCCCTAGTACATAGTAGGTGCTCAGTTAAGGGGTGGGCATTATTAGTAGCAATAATTAAAATTATGGTTTGTAACCCAGTGAAAAGTGAGAAGCAGGTGAATGGCAACCAAACAGAACCGAATCCCATGGATTTAATTTGCAGGTTGTAAATCTTCTCACCACTGAGGATTCTTTATTATTTGCTCCATATATTCCTAGGGTTATTCTTTTGTTTATTCACTCACTGATTCATTTAATAAAGATTTACCGAGCACTTCTTACATTAGGCACTAGACAGATAATGTTAAAATGACGGTGTCCCTGGGTGCCTGGTGACTCAGTGGGTTAAGTGTCCAACTCTTGATCTCAGCTCAGGTCTTGATATCAGGGTCGTGAGTTCAAGCCTTGTGTTGGGCTCCATGCTGGGCATGAAGTCTACTTAAAAAAAAATAATAATAACTGTCCCTATTTTCTGGGAGTTGACATCTTTCCCCAATGGGGGAAAGAGACACATGGCTAGTTGGCAACATAACATGGGAGTTACCCACGTGGACACTGGACCCAGACAACCTGGTTCTCATTCCCAGCTCTATCACGTACTGGCTCTGTGACCTTGAATTGGTTATTTAACCTCTTTGGTCCCATCATCTATAAAGTGAGTTGTAAACATCTCCCACCTCCACTCCCCACCATAAGGGTCTTAGGAAGATTAATGGCATTGACACAAGGGTAAAGCGCTTTGCCCAATGCTTGGCATATAGCATGCACTAGTAGATGTCGGCCACTTTTATTTCCAGTTATGTCCCTTGTGGTTGATGTTATAAAAGGGGAATTCAGAGAGAAAGGAGCACCCTTATCTATCTGGCAAACTATGTATATTAGGTAATAATGGATCCCTTTATATTATTAATCAACAGCTAATATAAAGCTGGAGGAAGAACTTCTAATCAGCATGAGATAAGTAATGTAGTATAACTTCTGTCCAAAGCAAAGAAATTTGACATTTTAGCCTTGGGAACTTATCTAGGGTAAATGGGATGGTTCTGTTAAGCCTTGAAAATATTGGAAATTTCTGCCCTGGATTTCTAGGAATACCTTCACACACTGACTTCTAAGGTCCAGGGATCCCTCATCACCAGGATGGAAACTACTGATCCAGGGGGAAAGGAATGAAAGGGAAGGAGAGAGGGGTGCAGACCTTTATAGAGAAACTACCATGTGTTAGGTGCTTTATCGCTTAAGCTGTCCTGATGCACCATGAGGCTGGTCTATTATCCCCATTTTAGCTAAGTAAATGGGGGCTCAAAGAGGTCAAGTAGTGTGTTCTGGGTCAACAGCTCATCAGAGCCAGGATTCCAGATCTTCTGATTCCAAGCCTAGAGTTCTTCCCTGGACCTCAAGCTGCATCTCACGAGAATGTGAGAGAAGTCGTCCCTCTGTTGTGGTGCTCTCCATATACTTCTCACCTGGGACAGGGATGGGGCAAGGATGGATTGGAGCAAGGTTTATCGATCACCATCTTCCCACTCCAGGTCCCAGGCGAAGAAGGTAGCTGCTCGAGGGCAGAATGACCAGGGGATGATCAGAGAGAGAGAGAGAGAGAGAGAGAGAGAGAGAGAGAGAGAGAGAGAGAGACCAGGCTGGGGGATCATGGCTGAGGACATAAAGGTGTCTGTCCCTGGTGGGCTCTTCTCTCTTCTTCTTGGAAACTCTTAGTGAGCAAGGCAGCACCCAGGTTGGGACCTTCCAAGTCTCCAGGTGCCTGGACACAGACGGGGACCCCGGGGAGAGTCCCCTTGATTCCTGTTCCTCCCTCATAACCTTGACCAAAGGCCAGAGAAGTATGGTGCCTTGACCTTATTCCCTGGTCCCTTGCTACCCTTGAGAATCTGGGTCGCAGAGAGAGAACCCCAACACAACTGAGTGCTATTAGCTGAATCCCAAGTTGGGACACCTGGCCTCACTGCCATGTCTGCACAGGATAGAATTTTGAAGTGGAATTTATCCGGGAAAATTTGGTTTATCTCTTCTGTGCCTGTTGTCCACCTTTTGGGTTCTGAGGAGTAAAATGATATAATATACGGGACAGCGCCTAGTGAAGTTCAAAAGGCAACAGGTTTATTATTGTCATTGTTATTATACCATCTTGAGGCTGAAGAGGATTGCACAGATGGTCTTATCTGATCCCCCAACTGTGGCAGGCGTCCTTCACCAGCACCCCTGACCGATTGCCAGCCAGCTCCACTTACACACTTGCAGTGACAAGGAGCTCACTCCTCCAAAGGTAGTCCTGGTTAGCTCTCCCTGAGAGAGAGTTCTTCTTTGGGTTGAGTTGAAGTCTGTCTTGCTGCAGTCTCTGGGCATGCAGCACATTTGTACCCACTGACCTTCTGGATTTAAGGACGGCTTCATGTCTCAAGTCATCCTTGTCTCCCCCCACCCCCCAGTCACCAGAGTACCTTTCTCTGATATCTCTGTGTACTTTGCACAGAATACCTTGCAGATTCTTCATTCCCTGGAGCTCCACCCACTCCAGCTGGTCAGTGTCCCCCTGCAAATGTGCTCAGAACAAACATAGTCAACGCTGCTGATATGACCCAATCAGGGCAAAGTGCAGGACGGGCATCACTTCCTATAATCCACATGCTGTGACTCTGTTAATGCAGCACAAAAACAAGAGCTTTCCAGCCGTTGCATCAAATTTGCTCATTTTAAGCTTGCATTTTAAGCAAATATCCCACAATCTTTCTCACCTAAACTACATCTGCATTCCATATTTGCAATTAGTTTAAATGGACCCGGGTTAAGAAATAGTTCATTGCCAGTGCCCTAGACGGCAAGCTTTTTTTTTCTTTAATTTTTTATTGTTATGTTAATCACCATATATCACATCATTAGTTTTTGATGTAATGTTCCATGATTCATTGTTTGTGCATAACACCCAGTGCTCCACGCAGAACGTGCCCTCTTTAATACCCATCACCAGACTAACCCGTCCCCCCACCCCCTCCTCTCTAGAACCCTCAGTTTGTTTTTCAGAGTCCATGATCTCTCATGGTTTAGATGGCAAGCTTCTTAAGGTGTGCTTCCTAATTATATGGCCCTCCCTCCCTGGTTCCGGAGCCGTTATGACTTCTGTGATACCCTTCTCTTCCTGTCTAGTTTACTACATGTGCATCATATTTAGTTTTGCCTGTTTGGGAACTTTATATAAATGGAATCATGCTGTATGTATTACTTTATAATTTGTTTTTTTCCCCTCAAAACCTTGTTTGTGAGATCCATCTACGTTGAATATTAGGGGTAGTTTGTTCATCATCATTGCTGTAGAGTATTCCGTTTTATGAATACTTTCCAGTTTACTTATTCTAGTGTTGGTGAACTAGATTTATTTGGGTGATTTGTTTTTTTATTGTATTATAAACTATGCCGTCTCGAATATCTCGTATGTGTCTACCTGTGCAATGTAATTGGTAAGTAATTATTTTATGTGTTTAGATCTTGTCTCTCGATTTCTTTCAGAACAGAGGAATCCTGCTTTTTACACCTAATAAAGGCTTTGAGCACACACTAGTTTCTCTAGAATACATACTTCAGAGTGGAATTGCTGTCTTAGGACTTATGTAAAAATAGGAAAATGTACACAACTCTTGTATGCTCCTTACCTGATTTCAAAATTGCTTTTTAAGAAAACACAAAAAACAAAAAACACTTGTTTGGCATGGGGAGCTCTAGGTGTCCAAATCAGCAGCCTGACCATTTCTTTCTTTCTTTTTTTTAAAGATTTATTTATTTGAGAGAGTGAGAATGAGAGAGAGAGAGTACATGGGGGGGGAGGGTCAGAGGGAGAAGCAGGCTCCCCGCCGAGCAGGGAACCCGATGCGGGGATCGCGGGACTCCGGGATCATGACGTGAGCCGAAGGCAGTCACTTAACCAACTGAGCCACCCAGGCGCCCCTGACCATTTCTGAGTGATCTTGATCTTGAGGGCCTCTTACTCACTGTAAAGAGTCCCTTCTATAGAGGGCATCAGTATCTGCTATCTTTATGGCTCCTGCCTCTCGTTAGTCATCCCGAGATAGAGGATGCACTGGGCTACCCTATTCTGGACAAGAGACATTTAAGGGGGGTTAGGTAGGGGAAATAACACTGCTTGCTTTCTCAAAGGTACACCAGCCATCCGAGGATATTAATTGCTCAAAAAAAACTCGTCCGTATTTAGGTTCCCCCCCCGCCCCCGCCCCCGCCAATGTCAGGACTTAGGGCAAAAGTACAAATAGATGCCACGTTGCCTACCTGAATTATTTAAAATTATAAATCATTTCATCTGTCAACCTTAATATATTTTATTCTACCTTGACAAATACACATCTTTGATGATGCGGAAGACCAGGCTCAGATTCAGGATTCCTGAACTCCTGAGATTTGGGCACTTGACTGGGGTGGTAAGGGGAGCCCTGGGCGGGCTGGAGTGGTGGCCCAGGGCCCACTTGTCGCCTTCTGTGCACACAGCAACTCAGATGTCCAAGTGGTGTGCCGCCCTCTCCCACAAACACAGCTGCCTCTTAGCTAACGTATAGGCATGTCCAGTCCGTGCCCTAGAGAGGATGAATGTGCGGAAGAGACATAGCCTCCAGCCATTTAGAGTGTGTGCGTGCGTCTGTGTGTGTTGGTGGTGCTGGGGGGCATTCTGGGCTCGCAGTTTCCCAGCCCTTGGTCCTGCAGGAGGGGCACAGGTGCCAGGTGGGCACGGTCCCCGCACCCTGTGGGAGGGCTGTAACCACAGGGGGCTAGAGGGGAGCCTCTACCGCACGGTGCCTAGGTCAGGCTCTCTCGCCCAGGTAGAGGGACGGCACTGGGTGCATGTCATCTCTCCTCTCCCCCCACGATGAGTGCGGGGAACTGTGCTGGGTCGTCTCCCCAGCACCCATCACAGTACCTGGCACCTAGAAGTCACATCGCACACAGGTGCTCGCGCTTTACGCACTTCACCTTTCCTAAGCCGGCCGGCAGAGGAAGCTCTGTGCGGTTCCGGGAGGTTAAGTGACTGGCCCAAGGTCACACAGCCGGCCGGGGGGGGGGGCTGGATTTGCGCTCACTTCACCCACCACCCGGGCTCCTCGCGCGTCCCTGGCTATACTCGGTTCTTCTTTGCCCTGTGCTGGGACGGAGGCCTACGAGTCGCCCCCCGGGAGCCGCCCGTGCCCCTCCCCGGACCCCGCGGCCCTCGGCCCCCCCAGCCTCCTCGCCCGCTCCCCCTCCTCCCGCGCCGCGCAGCTTCGCGGCGAGGCCCCGCCCCTCCCCTCGGGCGGCGTCACGTGCCGCCCCTTCCCCCCGCGCCTGCGCACTGCTTATTTCCCGCTGTCAGGATGAGGAGGCGGAGGTCGGCGCTCGGGTCCGTCTCTGCCCGCGGCTGTGGCGGCGCCGGCGGCTCCAGCCTTAGCGGTTCCTCCCTGGGCGGCGGCGGCGGCGGCTCGGTCGACGCCTCCTCCGCCAGCTGAGCCCGCGGGAGCCCGGGACGCCGGCCGCCCGCCCGCCCCGCTCCGCGAGGCCGCCGCCCGGCCATGGCGCAGCCGGGCCCGGCTCCTCAGCCCGACGGTGAGGCGCCCACCATG